ACTTTTATTGGTAATAACAGAGATCAACAAAAAATGTTGCATCTCATTGCTGTTTTCCTTTTCAAATTATTCATACTTTCAGTTAATTGCTCTAGGGTAGACTTCTACCAATCTTTCCAGAAAACATTCCAGATCATTACAGTAATAAGGGGAAATTAACTTGGAATTATTTTGCTACAGGTCAGCTCTCTTTTAGGGTACTGTACCACAAAATCCAGCCACTCACTGAGTCAGTACATACAAATAAAGAATTATAAACTATAAACATTTTAATATCTACAAAAGGTTTTTTTAAAATCACAAGCAATTAACCTTAGACAGCTAAAGCATTTATAAATGCACAGATGTTCCAGGACAAGAGAAAGCTGTTGTTTTTCCTGAGCAGAATATAAATCATAAGCAAATAAAATAAATCACAAATATCTGTGGAACAGGCAGACCCTTGCTCTACTGAACCCCATGCACCTCATCACATGAAAGTACTTTCCTACCTCCATGAGATCTGATGGCTTGTGGTCCTTTATGTACCTTTGTTTCTTGCTAAATCCCCCAAAACCCATGTGTTCTACCATGTTAATATATGCTGTTACTCCATAAGTTAATTTTAACCCACATAATTTCCCTCCTCTGGTTCACTGCACAGCTGAATGGAGCAGGGGTAGCAACAGCTAGGAATGACAACTGCCCAACCTGACTCTCCTCTCAAAGAAACTACTCCTAGATTTTTAATCCATGTTGAATAGAATGGCAAAATATCTACCATCAGGGTACATCTACAGTATTGTAGTAAGTCTAACTGACTGATGCAAAAGGAAATTATTCTTTTTGCACTAGATCTTTGCAACATCTTGCAAGCACTGAACTGTGTGTTTACTTCAGATATATCAACTCACAAGTGGCAAAGTGTAAAGACAGGCTTTACAAGAATTGCTTGTACAGGAGTATTTGCATGAGTACAAAATGACTTCTCTCAACTCTTAGAAACACTCCACTAATTACCTGCTTCACATATGTCACCATTTCATCTTGGTTTCTTGACAAAGTTTATAGTTTTCTGAATGAGCTGTATTTCTGAGCAAGTATTTTCAATACAGCAGGTATCTTAGCCTGATTGTAGGATAGGTGGTATAGTAACAAGAATTGCAGATCTCTGGTCCTTTCAGAACATGGAACATCCCAGGCTCAGACTGCTCATACCCTACGTTGTCTATTTATAAAAAAAAATCAAGTGGATTAAAAACTCATGACAATGTGTAAAAGACTGAGAATGAAACCCTGGAGAGCTCCATTTGTCCTTGGTATAAGATACACCACGCTTCCCTAACTGCATCTGCATTGTGATACAGAAAGTTCTAGCACAAGGACTGCCAAGCTAATTCACCCCATGACCCATCCAACCCCACACACTTTAGCTCAGAAGTCTGTCAAGAAACACAGAAACAAGAATGCACCAAGATCATGAAGGGAACTTCATGTGTGCCACACGTGTGCCAGGGACTACATTCATACCAAAGACTCAGATGTGAAAACTGCCTGGAGATCAGATTAAACTAATGCTTTCTGACATGGAAGTCTTTCTGAGCAATAACGCACCACACTCAGAAAAATTTATCAAAAATTTGTATCTAATACAGCACTTTTCACCCAAGAATCTCCCAACAAAGGACAGAGAGGGTAACATTGTCTTGTAGAAGCCAGAAAAACTCTAGACTGAACAAAAATGTTTCCCTTAGTTTCACAGTCCATATTATCAGAGTGGCGAGTAACAAATCTCAGGGTTCTGTCTTAGCACCTCTCTGGTTTTCTCACTTTGATCACACTTGTAAAAGACTGTTATTTGGAATATGTTGGAACCATAAGCAAACAGCTTTTTGCTGGAGTTCAGTGTCCCACACTACCACCTACTGTAGAACTTTTCTATTAATAATAGTTCCTATTACAATTAGGAGTTCACACAAAAGATAATCTGCTCTGCTGAGAAGTACATACGTCAGCTTTTCCTAGAGTGTAGAGTGTCTCCAAAATCTTGTGATGTAGCAAATATTCCATACATGGTCCTGTTTCACCTGATTCCCTCTCATTTTCTTCTTGAACTAGAATATCCAACATCTGTTCCAGGTGAGAAGGAATGTTGGTATCAGTCACAGGAGCTTTGTCATCTGAACAGAAGAGATGGGCAATTAAGAATTATTAAAATATTGTCCTCACTTTTCTTAAGTTCAGTTCCAAATTTAAGATTTAAAAACATGACCACTCATTTCAAGAATCTTATATACAGTAAGTTTTTACCATGTCCTAAATCAAATTTTCAGAACCATATCTGGTAATGTAAACTGGATTATGCATTGGGCAGATATTTAACCTTGCAATGGGGAAAAGAGGAAATGCCAAAATTCAAAACATGGTCAAAAAGGGAGAATTCTACAGCCAGAAACCAAGTTTTTGGAGGGAAAGGTTCAACTCTCAATCTGCTGGTTAGTATCCACTCTGTCTTAATAACTTCCTCTTTAACTCTCCATGTAGTGTTCTCAAAGCTCTACATGGCCTTTAACATCAGCTTAATTTGCACCTGATCAGTTCTTTTACAAATTTGAAAACTAAATGTTTTTTTTTCTAATGATAACAACAAAGAAAACCCAAACTCCATGCTGTTTATTCTTCACAAGTTTTTAAATTTCTCTTTTATGCTTTCTGCATTGAGATAGAATTATGTCAAACTTTATGAAGGAAAGGGTACGACTGATTTCATTATACTAAAATCATGAAACTGCAGTGGATTTATGCCACTGGCAGTGGGAGTTGGTATTAACACGTTGTAGAGCATATCCACAACATGAAGATTTTCCTCTTTTATTTTTTTCAGCAAAATTCTACTTGAACAGCTATCCCACTAGCTAGGGAAATGGTTACTACTTCTTATGCAATAACCTAAAAATAACTGCCACTTGCATGCACATGGCAATGAGAGCACACAGGAAAACTGCCATGTCAAAGTGATTTTGGTCTCTGCCACAACCTCCAGTAGCCTGGAGTGTTTTGCTTGAATTTCCTAGGCATAATTCTGCTCCTGCTGCAGAGGACAGAAATATATCCACTCAGTGGAAACTTGTTTTTCAAATGACTTGTGAAAGTCTGGGAGAGAGGTCAGCTTTTATTCTGCACCACGTCATTGCAGGTATCACTTTTCCCCCACCACCCTGTCCTTTCCACCTTAGGAAACATCACATAGTGTTCCAAAAGAAGGGTATTTAGAACCAAGGGTCAAGTTGTAGCTTGTACAAGTAAATGTTGATATAAACAAGATCATCAGTCCAGACACAAACACAGATTCAACAGCTCTTCCAGCAGAAATGCAGAACTAATACACTTGAGGAAAGCATGGCAACATTCATTTTAAAACACAGTAGTTTAATAACAAAATAAAAAATTTACAAGTTGCATAATTAGAAAAAAAAAAAAAAGAAAACCCATGAAAAAGTTTAAGAAAAAGCAACTACAGCCACATTTCATCAGAATATGCATTTTTTAGAAGAGCAAAATAACACATGGATAAGCTTTAACGAAATGTGTTCTAATCTGCTCACAAATTCACTTTTCAGAGCTATTTTATCAAAATACCTTTCACTGACACAAGACACTAAAGCAAAAAAAACTAATACGGAGCACATGGCATTCATATATGTCTGATAAAATCTATGACCACAAAATTACTTCTATTAAAATCTTGGTAAGAAAAAAAAATCCCTGATGCAAACCAATAAAAAGGTAAACAGCAGGGACTAAATTTCTGTAGCTGTCTGTTTAGATTAAACAAAATATGCAAAGACAGAAACTGGGTCAGCTGAAAAGGTACAGTTCTCTATGTGGTACTTAGGAACTCTCCTACAATCCTTTTTCATGCCTACTTTTTAAGGGGTGGAGGGACACAATACTTTTGATTACTAACTATTATTGTTGGCATTTTGATAAAAGACATGACTAATTTTAGTATTTCTTAATATTTTCTTTTTAAAAACACTGAAATTGATAATTTTAGTTTTCACAAAAGAGACAAACCCAAAGTGCTTTTTTCTTTTACCTGAGGTCTCTATGTAGTAATGGGTGATGGCTTTCCAGTGGTAAACAAAATCTTCTTGTAACGGAAGGGAAGGTGCGAGCTATGGGGAAAAAAAACAACAAACAAAACCATTTACAAATGAAATTAACGTGTTTCCTCAGAGATTAAACTGAATTTTATCTTATACTTGGAACTGAACTGCTGCAGACTAGTGCTACAATTAAGCCTCTGGTCTTTTACCTTTAACAAGGCCTACATACATTATTCATGGCTGAGCCCCAGCTGCCTGGCTTGTGAACATCAGTAATAATCTCTGTGATGTCTCTATGACCAGACAATCTATTTGAAGCAACAAAAGCAATTGCTCATACAGCAAAGCAACACTAGAAACCTATGTTTCTACTCTAGATCACAGTTTTGTCCTGTAGAAAAAATCATGTTCTTTTACATCTGCTCTTGATGCCATTTTCCTTTTTTGTACACCCTGTTCTCCTCTCCTCCTCTATTCCCTTAAAAATACCAATGAGTTGCTTCATACAGTTTTTGCTGTGCATTTTTTCCTGTTAACTACAAGTTCTTTCAAAAGATCTTTGTTCAGTTTTTGGTGATGGTTTTTTGGGTTTGTGTTTTTTGTGTTTTGTTTTTTGCTTTGTTTTTTTTCCCCCCACAGCAGGCCCATCCCCAGAACTTGGCAGGTTGTCTGTTTTTTTTTTTAAACAAGCACATTTCTTATTTCATTTCTGAGAGAAAAGAAAGTTTCTTCTTTTCTGGAGGAATTTGGGATGGCTGGCTGGGTGTGACCAGTATCCAGGAATAACATGCTACAAGAATAAAACACAGCCTCCCACTTAGTCACCATCAGCTCCTTCCCAACTGAGCTGGAGACCTGGTGCCCTGTGGCCCATTACACCATAGGCAGCATGTGACGAAAGGAGGACCACAACCATTTCCCCTCTCCAAAGAAAGACTTGAGGCAAACACTCAAAAATTTGTGACCACAATATAAAATGTTCTGAGCTGGTAAAATCAGCAATTCTATAGGGAAAGCCCCCACCACTTTACAGAATCTCAGAAGGGCTGAGATTGGAAGGGGTCTCTGGAGATATCTCTTGAGTCCCCCTGCTCCAGCATGGTCACCTAGAGCCAACTGCCCAGGACTATGTCCAGATGGCTTTTGAATATATCAAAGAATGGAGATTCCACAACTTCTCCAGGAGTCTGTGCCAGGGTTCAGTCAACTTCACAGTGGGAAAGTTTTCTCCCTCAAAAAACTACAGATACCACACTTGAGACTAGTAACTCTGAATTCCTCTGGTGACTCCTTGTAGGGTCTAAAAAGTGCTGAGTTGTCTCTGTTCTTGGGCAAACATAAGCACAGGGCCCAGTCGTCTGTATAATCTTCACTAGGTAGTGCTGGTCTCTTTGTAAAAGCTCTGGACATTTTCCACGTCAGTCTTTTCTTTGCCTTGAATTTAATGACACTTAAATTTATCTTGGTAAAGCTGTAGAGCCCAGTATATGAACGGCATGCCATGTGAGATAAGTGGAATGCTAATTGTTAATGGCCCTTTGCACACAGGACTTTGACATGCAAGACTCTGCAAAAGAAGTGGTGCTTGGCAATTATCTCCACCCGCATCCTGGGTGGAAATGTGCCCTCAAAAATGGCAACTAGGAAATCAAACTGACAGTGCTTATCCTCTCCCTGACAGTGTGCACCCACTAAGTCTTCCACATTTCCATGGCTGGGCACTGGGACCAGCACTTTAGCACACCATCTACCACAGAAGAAATATCAGGGCAGCACACACTGGACAAAACTAGTTTATTTTACTGTGATGTTTATGAGGTTATCGAAATTCAGAAGAATAACTGAACAAACTGAAGACTGAGCATATGATTATTCTGTATCATACTTCATATGTCGCACTTGCTGCTGTCAATGTGTATTTCAAGCAATGTAATGATCATTTAGCATCCTTCTGTAAAAAAAATATACCAAAACCTCAACGCTGGCTGACAAATAGCAGAGACAATTTTTGAGGAATACAGGCCTTTCAGACCACTCTATTTCCAAAGTAACACATGATAGATAACGTTAAAGATTTATCCTTGGCTGATGTGATTTTCCTCTCCACTTCTAGCCTCATCTGCCTCAAGATGAATTAAGTGCTTCTGAGCAGTGCCAGGAAAAGGATTTCACTTCTCAGCACTGTCAATAATTTATCTACCACAGGAGAGAACAGGGGATACAGACACTCTCCCTCCCAACAAATGCCTCCAGGGATTCTTCTCAGAGGTGAAAAAGTAATTCAGGGACAGGTCCTGCCCTTTTAAATTAAAACACTCAGTGATTCCACAGTCTCCTCTGACTGAGGACTGCAAGCCAGACGTACCACATAGAGATACCATTAGCAGGTGTGTGCACCTGTACAATGTACAGGTATCCTATCGGGAACACATGATCAGCCTTGTCACCAACTGAGATGTAACTCCAGCAGAATTATTCTGAAATAAGTGTTTTACCAATTAAAAAAAAACCCAACAAACAAAGGACACACCCAAAACCAACCTCAAAAACCCCCACAGACACAAAATCAAGGTAAAGACCAAGACCAAGATACCACCTTACATGTAAACAAAGCCAAGCACTGGAAGGCATTAGAAAAACGTCAGCTCCTAAACACTTGGTTGACATGCTTTAACTCTACCAGGACAGGTAATTCTAGGATGAAGTTGTAGTTTCTATTTTAGGATGAATTATTAGCTAGCAGCTGAGATGAAATACATGTCACAGTCGCCAGCATGAATAACAATTCTATTGTATAAGTACTCAGACTTGTTTAGAGATTCTGAACCAAACCAAAATTCATTGTGAAGGCCATTAATTCCTGCTATTTGTCTAATTTAAAGGAATTACCATAAAAGCACAGTTATTTCTCACCATTTTATTAATCTTGATGTAATTAACTATGTTCTTACTAATTTCGAGCTATTGATTCCTACTCTCAAACTGAAGTTCTCTTCCTTTGGGGAAAAAACCCAACATCTTCAAGACTGCAGTGTAGGTGTTGGTATATCAAATAGCCAAAACTCAGTGAACACTACTAAAAACCAGCCCACTGGAGCAGATATTGATTAGCTCTTCCATCTGGTGCCCAACTCCAGCAGTTTGGCTTCCTAGGAGTGAGCTAGCTAAACTTAACACATGCTGCCTTATCATTCTGGTGACAATATGTAAACAAAGATCAAACCCCACTCCTTCCAGGAAAAGTGTTATTCTCAGGAGAACTAGAGATCTTTGACCACAACTACAGTCTGCTCATTACAAAACCTGTCCAAAATACAATTCCACATAGTTTTTAAAAGTATATAAAATTTGTGTTTAGGCAGGAAAAAAAGTAACATCAAGGGCAAAGACATTTAGAAATATTCAGTATTTAACAGAAATTCTTTTGTGCATGTATTTTTCATGTAAGCTTTTCAGAAGTGCAGTTCAATACTGAAAAGAACAGAAACATCAGAAGCTAGTGATATCTTCTGGACAAGCTCAGTATCAGTATCTTTTGGACAAAAACTAAAGAGAACACTGTATAAAAAAATAACAGGTACTTTCTGGTCAGATGTCACAGTAAAAAAGCAAGCAGAAACTGGGTCAAAGAGAAAGGAAGGGGAAGTGCACACACTGCCCTGAGTGAAACGAGGAAAACTACAGCAGTCACTTGATGTTTTTATTCAGTCTTACCACTGCACTAGTGTGAATGTCTGGGCTAACAGAAAATGTGTAAAAGAACTAATGCTTGAAGGTTTATTTGATCTTCAGCTGATGGATGCACAGAGTTTATAACGACCACTGCTTTCACATATAAAATTAAGGCTGCAGATGCTTGCAAGCCGTGCATTAAATTTTGTCATCATAATTTGTTAAAGCAGCACAACATTAAAACAATGAGTAATGTGAGGTCATTACATTAAATAAAGTGGGTTCAAGAAGAATAAATTCTGTTCTGATCAGTTACGCAGCTCATGATTTTGGAGCAATGCCTACACCAAGTGACTTGGTTTCTTTCAAACCTTAGTTCCACCTCAAAAATATGAAAAGAAGCTACTTAAAAGTATGTTAAGCTCCCACTGTAAGAGATATAGTGGAATAACAGGCTGGTAGAAAGGGGGTCTCAAGAATGTGCAGCAGACACCAAAATCTTAATTCACTCCCTGGTACCAACAGAGAGATGCAAATATATTTGTCTGACAGCAAATTGCAAAATTCAAAACAACCAAAATTATATTTTTCCTGCTCAAGGTACACAGCTCAAAAACCTCCCTTTGAGTTGACTATTAAGATGAAACATCTAAAAGCCAAAATCAAATACAAACAAAAGCCCTTTGAACAGTGACTGACCACTTTACAGACAAGATATTTTGTCCAGGGAAAGATGAGTGAAGAGCACAAGATAAGAGAAAAAGAAGTCTAACTCGCTGCTTTGTTACTGTACACTACATTCTGTTGTTACAGAGAATGTAGCGCTCATGGATAGCCCTTTGGGATAAAAGTGTATCAGAAATGCATAGCAAACGGAAAACATCTCGAGGACAAGCCATACATAAACTGTCATAGATTCAATAATATTAACCCCATGAAGCAGCAGCAGCATTTCTGTTTTGCCCTGAAGTAAGGTAACAGAACAAGGATTGCAGTCCTGTCCACCATTCTTACCAACTCACCCAACCCAATTTAAGGGTGCTCTGTCAGCACAGTAACACAGTAGTGCTTGCTCATCTGGATGCTGCAGAGAAATCCAGAAAGTGAAAAAATAGCTAAAATACTGGCAGGGTTGACATAAGAGGTGACAAAAACTAGAATTCAATTGTAATGAAAATCGTGAATATGATTTCAAACACTTGGGCAATTTAGGCAGAAAAAAAATGAAAGTTTTGGGTTATTCAATGTAGAATCATAGAATCATAGACTGGTTTGGGTTGGAAGGGACCTTAAAGACCATCTAGTTCAAATCCCTCTGCCATGGGCAGGGAACCTTCCACTACACCAGGTTGATTAAAGCCCCATCCAGACTGGCCTTGAACACCACCATAACCATTCCGGGAAAAAGTCCTGGTATGAAAAAGTCTTAATAAAAAGCAGCTGATCCCTTATGTTTGCCTCAGCACAGTCCTGTCACAAAGGCAGTCAACTGAAGAGTGATACATTCACAACAAATAAAAGGCAAATACTGCCATGTCTATCAGACTGTCAACCTTTGGAACTCCTTGTCAAGAGTTCAGAGGGATGGCATACTGAGGGTAAGATAGCAATGATTATCTAACAGCATAGTAATGTACTGTTTAAATGCATCTCTCTGAAGTCTGTAGGCCTCTGGGCCCTGAGGCAGGGCAGGAGCATTATGTAAGTGATGTGCAGGAGAAAGGACAGGGGAGAAGGGCTTCACCCACCATTTTGATTTAAAGTAGTCCCACCCATGAAATCTAAGCCCAGGCTCTTCAAGTGTATTTAAGTGTCCAACTCAGCTGAAAATTGTTCAGCTGCAACTGAATTCCTATGGGAGGCAGGCACCCAAAACCTTCGAGAACTGATATCTCAGTAACGAGTCCCATTGCTGATATTCAGGGTTCAGAAGTCCACTTGGGGCTGCACAAGCTACATTTGCTCCACAGCAATAACAGCAATTCTCTAGGTTCTGAAAACAGCAGGCAGCATCAAAGTGGACTTATCTAATATTTGGGATTCACCAGTTTTCATTTTCAGCATAGCAAAGCCAAGCAGCCCACATACTTTCATTACAGACAAATGAAACAACCACTTTAAGTCACATACAGCCCCCAAACTGGTGAAAAATAAGAATGTTTCTTACTGGATCTAGAAAGTTTTGAACTGGTGAGTTAAACTTCCTAGATCCAGTAAGAAACATTCTTAATATCCTCTTGCTTTTGTGAGCCCATGTCTCATTCCCAGTGTGTGGTGCTCAGTATTTGTCACAACTCTGTAAATGCAATTTAGTGCAGTATTTGTTATCAGGAGATCCATCACGTTGGTGGTAGCAGAATGAGGCAATTCCAAAAGCGACACCAGAGTCGAGCAAGGACAAATAGCATGTTGTTCGACTGCACTCACTTGCAAAATGATGGTATCAATCTGTTTCTGTATTTTGTTTTCCTTTTTTTATCAAAAGATTGCCTAGTCCCTACCATTTCTACTTTTCTCCTTTTCCATTTAGCTCATTCGTTTTTCCTATTTTTCTTCTTATGGATCTCAAATAAACGCGGTTCTTTTTGTTAATTTTTGCACACATCAATAATGTAAACATTCCTCTAGGAATAACTTCCATTAAATCTCTTGAATTGGTAGGCCTGAAACAGTAACTTCTCCTCCACTCCTGCATCCCTCAGTCATCCTGTTTCACTCAAAATGTGGCACAGCTCACCATAACAAGCTTTCTTTAGTCAGGCAGGCACTAATTTCTGTTTCCCCTCCAAAGAAAGCACTGTCTATTGAAGGCATTCTCATGTGGTCAGAGTGTTTTCAAATAAGATATTTTGTCATTATTTAAAACGTTTCTTTCCAAATGCCACTTTACCACTAAAAGAGCAAACTGCAATTAATTAATATATGCCTAACTTTTAAAACTGAATACTCCAACAGAACCACAGGCACACATAAAGCCAAGGATGTGCTCCAGTACAGTATCAAAGTATACATTCATGCACAAAGCATACATTAATGCACAAAGGCTGCCCCTCACACGAGGCAGCATTTGGCATGCAGGTTCTTCTTACAATCATTACGATTTAGCCTGCAAGCTCTTTTTGCAACCATTTCAACAATTTTCCTCCAACACTTTCCACCTTCACTTCCAGCAGTATTTCACCGCCAGCTTTCAGCATCTCTTCACATTCAAGTCTCGCAGGTGTGTTGGCTTACTGGGAGAGGTGCTGAAAAGCAGGGAATCACCATCAGGACCCCGCCTCAGCAAAAAGCAAACAAAAATAAGCCGTGTGGACAGGCAGAGCCGAACGCGGCCTGCAGCAATGGCAGCTCCGACACAGGCCCCGCTTCCACTGCCCAGCACACGCACAGCCCCGGGTGCCCCGACCAGCGGGACAATGAACCAGGTGACGTTTTTCACCTCACTGGGAAAGTGACACCGTCCCGCAGAAGCACCGGAGACGGCGGCTATTGTCCGCTGGCCGCTACAATATGAAAATCCTGAGGAGCTTCCTGATTCACCTCCTTTATTGTTTGTCTCGCCGAAAGGCACGGGCCGAGTGAGGGCCGGGCCTGGGCTGCCCTCGGGCCCGGCAGTGACAGCGGAAGCGGAGCCAGGGCCGCCCGGGCAGCGGCCGCTCCGTCCTCCCCCGGCACCCCCGGCTCTGCACGGCCGCGCTGGGGCGATTCGCTCGCTCCCCGCGGAGCCTCCCCCTCGGCCTCCACCTCCCCGGCCCGCGGCAGGGCCGAGCCGGGTCCGGACCCGCGCCCCGTGGTGTCCCGGCCGGCGGCAGCCCCGGGGGGCGGCGGGGAAGGGGCTCCGGGCCCGTCCGAGCCCCTGCCCCGCGCTCGGCGCTAGGCCCTGCTCGCAGCCCCGGCGCGGCGTGGCCGGGCCCGCCGGCGGCCTTACCGCCTCCACGGCGTGCTGCAGGATGGAGGTGAACTTGGAGAACATCCTGTCCCGCGACTGCAGCAGCCGCTGCCGGGAGGACCGGGAGAGCTCCTCGATGCGCCGCCGCCGCCGCTCCAGGGTGAGGGCTGCATGCGGGGGCCTGGCCGCGGGGATCGGGCGGGCGGGCGCCGGCGCTACCTCTCGCTCCCCGGCGGACACCGTGGCACTGACACCGCCGGGCGCGGCGGCGGCGGCTGCCGAGGCTCCGGGTGCCCTGCAGGGGCCGCCACCCCCCGCACGCCGCCCGGCCCTGCCCGCCCCGCTCCGCTCCGCCCGGAGCGCCGCGTTCCGCCTGGGCCGCCTGTCCCGGGCTGGGAGCGGGCACTGAGCCCCGGGAGCCCCGGGCCAGCCCCCGCCCCTGCGGGCAATTCCCGGGCAGGGAGGTGAATCACAGAATCGATTAGATTGGAAAAGACCTCTGAGATCATCGAGTCCAGCCTATGACCGAACACCACCAGGTCAACCAGACCATGGCACCACGTGCCATGTCCAGTCTTTCCTTGAAACCTCCAGGGAAGGTGACTCCACTGCTTCCCTGGGCAGCCCATTCCAATATCTAATACTCCTTTCTGTGAAGAAGTTCTTCCTAATGTCCAACCTAAATCTCCCCTGACACAGCTTAAGACTATATTCCTTTGTCCTGTTGCTGGTTGCTTGGGAGGAGAGACTGATACCCAACCCACCACAACCTCCTTTCAGGTAGTTGTAGAAAGTGATAAAGTCACCCTTGAGCCTCCTTTTCTTAAGACTCAATACCCCCAGCTCCCTAAGCCGCTTCTCATAGGACTTGCTCTTGAGTCCCTTCCTCAGCTCCATTGCCTTCTCGGGACAAACTCCAGTACCTCAATGGCCTTCCTGAACTGAGGGGCCCAGAGCTGAGGTGTGGCCTCCCCAGTGCCAAGTACAGAGGGATAAGCCTTTTCCTGGTCCTGCTGGCCACACTGTTCCTGATCCTAGCCAGGATGCCATTTTCTTCTTGACCGCCTGGGTACACACTGGCTCAGGTGAGGGGAAGGGGCACCCACCTCTGCTGTCTCTGTGCCCAGACGCTGCCATCAGGCTCCCACAAAGGTCTCTGGGGCTACATGTGCCCCTCAGAATCATGAGAGTGGGGAGACCGCCACTTCCACCTGCCTGCCAACATGGTACAGATGCGGAACGGCCCTGGCATGGGTGGCGAAAGGCCCAGATTGCTGTCTGCTGGAACATTTTGGGTCTGTCACTGTCCACAGGGACGGTGAGATCCTCAAGGATATGATGACATGCCCAGCTGTCCACAAAGCAGCACAAGGGTGATAAGCTCAGAAAGTCAGTGACAAGTGGTGGAGTCACCACCAAATGAGTGGATGTGGCGCTTTGCCATATGGTTTAGTGGGCATGGTGGTGCGAGGTCAAACGTTGGACCTGAGGATCTTGGAGGTCTTTTCCAACCGTAATGATTCAATCTTGTTGCTGCTGGGTGAAAGGCAGGTGGAGTGGGTGGCATGGTCCTGTCTGACTGTGGTTAGCCTGGGGCTTGCAGAGAACCACAGCTAAGAGGGCTTGTGGCAATGAGCACATTACCCATTTCACTGGATTTTTTTTGTTTATTTTGTTTGTTTGTTTATTTGTTTTCCAGAGAGAAAGAGACAAAGATGGGTTTATTTCACCTCCAAACCAGATACTTCAAAGAAAGTGATCATCCCTGCCATTTTTCAGTGCCATGCAAATAGTTTTGCAATATATCCAGATTGTTATTAATGTTTATATATATTTGAATATGTAATACTTAGCTATTTATTTTATTTATATTATTATTTTTGTATAAGTACAGTTCAAGTGTTACTTTCAGCCTGCTTGTATGGTTTTTATTTAAAATTCTTATTGCTTTCTTTAAAAAGTTAAAGATGAGTTGTGGTTTTTAATGCAAATTTTGTCAGCACAACCACAGTAGTGGTACAACTTTCCTCCCATCAATGTGATGCCATTTACCATGTTAATGAGCACCTTCCCATTTTCTCACCATAGATACCGTTTTGGAGCCTGCATCATTTCAGAAGAAAATATGGATATAAGGATATAAGCACACGTACTTGATTAGGGTGTCTAAGAGAACATGGTAATTTAAGATGCTCTTTGCAATCTGTTTGTTTCTGAAAAAAATGTCTTTTGAATGTGCCCGGGCCTTCCCATTTCTGAGCAGCAGAATGAATAAAGAAACAGTAAGATATCATGAAGATATAAAAAGAGACAGTTTTATAACTCTGAGAGTATTCCTAAGCGTGCTTAACAATTTATGAAATCATAAGTCACAGAATTACAGATGGTGAGGTAAAGCTTTTCTAAGAGTGCCTTATGTATATAAATTCATTATTATTTAAACAGAACATTTCATAGCTGTTGAAATTAAGATTTTGATTGTAAGAGTGACTTCTTATTAGGACTTCTCAATGTGAAATGCCTTCCAGTAGAGGGAACAAAGAAAATACCACAGTTAAATGATTATTCCTAAGCTTATTAAACAAATTGAGTCTCTGCACATAAGCCTGCATTTATTTACCAATAGGTTGAGATTGAATGTGTAGCTATACATGCAGAATCCAGCCTGTAGTGCTTATATCTGTTGCAAATTATAGATATACTTTTTGAATGTTTTTTTAAAGTAGTCTCTTCGTTTCTCAAGTATATGTATGTATTTCTCACTGCTGGGAATATTGGATAAATATTCACAGACCAGTAATAATGCAAATCACTGGAAACTAAGGGAAAAATTATTTCACCAGTGTCAGTGCAGAAGAACTTAGCTAAGGTTACATTTTGTTTGGATACTTCTTGTTCTCACTGGAGATTATTTAATTGGAGATGACGCAGTTATGGACGAGCTACCAGTGTCATATCACATGCAATAGTACATCTTCACCTGCTCATGCTTTATAATGTTTCCACTGAAATAAACACTAGTATTACTCCCTATTTCAGTACCCTTGAGAGCAGAGTTCTGATGGTTTGAGGGTGCTGGGGTTTTTTTTGGCAAGGTAGTTCTTTTTTGGGGGCAATACATGCAGTGAGTTAGTGTTTTGCTTGAATGTGAAAAGACACTGTGAAAGTGAGGCTATTCTAATTGATAGAGCTTTTGGGAACTTTTCTCCTTCTTACAAATTAATGAAATTGTCTAGATTAAATCAATTTAGATGGAGTGAGAGAGTGAGATAATTGGCTAGCCTTTCTATCTGAAAATTTCTCTGCTATTTGGATTGATGGCATCAAGCCAGCATCTAATGGATGCATTTGTCTACATTACAGAAGAACTTCCTGCAGTCTGGACTTTCACTTCAGAGAGGCTGAAAATTTGGAAGGTGCATTTTTGTATCCTAGGATGAAAACTTGCAAGTAGAGCTGTGCCCAGTATCTGTTGATATTCTGGATTTTATTGTGTTTATAATAATCAGATTGACATCTATGTTTTCAGTGACTACTTGGATGAAATAAAGAATGAAGTTTTAGTGGCTCAGCACGATCTCTGCTTTTTAGGAGGGCTAAAGGGATTGTTAACTTCATCTTCATACCTATCTGATTCTGGACTTTATTACAGAAAGCAAGCATGTTGTGCATTACATACTGAAGAGCAAGCAGTGGAACTCAAGTCATTTTCTGCCATGAATTTCTGGTTGCTGTGCTCTCATCTGTGTGCATCAGCTTCCTCCTTGCTGATTTGCTGGCAGCACCATGTAATCAGCTCATGCAGTATTTCATAAATCCCATTTTCAGGCATTTCCTGGCCTGTGTATCCTGCTCCACATCTGCTACTTCTGTGCAGATATTCATTTGTCTTCTGATAGATTACAAACTTCTTAGTGATTAATCTTTTGTCTTATTGCTTACCTGTCACATCTGCAAGTGTCTTCTGACACCAACATTCATTGATACTGTGGAAGACTCAACACTGGGCAAATATTGCCTGCCCAGTAGCTATTGCTTATGTTTGTGCTTCAGTTACACTGTCTGTACCCTGATTTATCTTATATAATGGCTTGTAAAGGAGACCACGAGGAGGTCAGAAGTACATGTTATCAGTGAAATGAGACATTTATTTTCCCAACACATCATGTTTTCCTGAAATGTTTCTATTCCACTGGAAGCATTATAATCCAGGTTTTCCTCCATAGGTAAATATATGAATGTTCTGCAACAGGGTATCTGCAAATGCTAGCATATAATAGATTACTGAAATCAAATAAAATACACTCGAATGTGACCAGTTAGAGCTTAGCCAATTTCACTGAAGTGTGCAGGTTAGCAGGAGCACAAGTTTACTTGTTCTTGTGGTAGTGGAAGCTGAAGCAAAGAGATTAAAGATAGACTACTGAGTTTATGCTGTATTGCAACACTAATGACTGCAAAAGTCTATGTTATAAATAGACGTAAAACTGGATGTTGCCCTGAAATACTGGAAACAAAATAATTGACTGTCTGTCTGCTATAAATTGGTTCCCTCAATATTTTATCTGAGCATTTGCAGAGAGAGAAGTCTGGCAACCAGAATCTGTTTGTATTTCTGGGGAGAATTCAGGTGCTTAGCCTTGACCCTACTGAGAGATTTCCAAGTAATGTTCAGATAAGCTCTGACTGCATTGTTTGTTTTCTAATGCATAATAAGATTTCATTGTTACTTACATCTTTAGATTAAGGGCTATAATCTGTTGATCTCTAAAATGTCATCAGATAATCTGTTTAATCATAAGCAAAAGCTTATCTTGATAGTCTGTATGAGTTACGCAAATTAATTCAGGCACACTAGTACCATGCAAGTATAGAAGCTTTCAGCAGAATTCTCTTTCTCATTAATCCACAATTAAAAGTAAGATTTTGTTAGAGTTTCAATTCACATATCTCTGTCCTGAGGCATAATTGAAATCTCTTATGGAGTCTGACGTGAAATTTTAGCATTGTGAAATGTCTTAATTTTGAAGCAAGTGTCTAAAATATTTATGTTGCAAGGCACTCGATAGTGGCTTCATGATTAATTTTAAATTATTGATAGCACAGTTATCTAGAAGGGCCCAAATACTAGAGTCACAACGCTCTCCAGCGTTCACTACCCGTAAAGGTGAGTGACAAAATTCCAGCGATGTTCTCCAATCTGTTGTTTATCGGGAAGGCGGCCACTGAATCTCGAGAGTTCCAGCTCTCACCAGCAGAGAGCGCAGCTGACCTGGCTTAACCTCCGGGACACAAAGCAGCAGGATTTAGACAGATTCCCTCATAGAATGTTTTTAGGGAAAAAAATAACCCTGTGTATCCTGTGTAGAATGAACTAGTATGTCAACTAGTAATATTGCCTCTGGGCTTAACTGCTGTGTAGTACTTGGGTTGTAAGAGCTTTGGTTGCTACTCATGACAGCCTATCATTAGCAGTTCACTTGTCCTGCTTGGTTCTCAAATTATGTTATTTGAAGCTACAGGACTGGTTTGAGTTTATAAAGACATTGACGTACCCCTGTGGCTGTCACATGCCACATGATATTTGCATCTTTGCATCATCTTTGCAACAACTAAACCCCAAAGAATTTAGGAAGAGTCTTGTATTCAGAGACTGGCCCTTCTTGACAACTAATTGAATTCTCATGTGATTTCCACATGAGAATTCAATGAGAGGTGAGAGTGACCATGTACATCTCCATTGCATTATTTTACCTGCAGGTGAGGGTAGAGGGAGCCACCTCTACCTCTCTGCTTTCTCATAGAATTTCATGTTCAGAAGCTATACTCTGAGCCAAACTGCATTTCCAGAAAAATTATGTACAGCTTGATCCTTTGTAATTTTTTCTGAGTCATCAGCCCTGTAGGAGCAAGTGTCTGTACTTGGATAAAGCCTTTAAGGAACTGAGCTGGAGGCACTACTGATTGAGCAAAGAAAATGAAGTCTGCAGTAGACCCAGTGTCATGCAGGAATATTTCTGTTGCTCATCCCTGTTCTTTTGCCTCAGGCTGATTTGGACTAGTTTGACACTAAGTCCTCATGTTGTGCAATGCTGAAGTAAGCAGACCTGTGTTTGTAATATGCCTAATATAATGGAACCTGTTCCTGATTAGATCTTGGAGTAGTGCTGTAATATGCTGTACTTGATTCCTGCCTGGCAGCTCATGTGCCCAGCAAAGTATTTCCAGAGATTTAATTTCTCTGGTTACCCCCAGTGTCTGAGTCTCCCAGGAATTCCCAGGTGCTGTATATTGAGCTGTGATTAGTACCCAGAGTGTCTGACTGTTGCATCAGGCACTGCAGTCTGCAGCAGTCTGCATTTCCTGCTTCCTCTTCGGCAGCAGAGACCCAGTTGTGATACTGGCATTGCATGTACAGCATAAGTCAAAATTCTGTGTTCAGATGTAGAAATCTTGGACTGACAATCGGTCTCCATGAGCTGTTGCAAAACAACTCTTCCCAGAGCCCGATCCCGGCCCGCAGAGGGCAGCCCGACCCTGTGTTTTACTCCAGCGATGTGCTCAACTTGGGAATTCAGTCATCTCCTGGCATCTCTATCAGCATGACTTGCTGGGGAATAAACAACTGAATGTTGTGAAGAATTAACATCAGCCCTAAGCTCAAACAGATTCAAAAGTGGACTTAAAAAAAAAATTGCATGGCTAAATTAAACCACCTGGTACTATTTTTTTAAAATCATATCAAAAGAAAAATATTACATAAGAAAGCTCAGTTTTGAATATCTTGCACGTACAACAGATAAATGTATTGGTTAAAAGGCAAGAGAGAGGAAATACCCAGAATTTGTGTACCTGCATGTACTGGGCAAGACTAATAGAAGGAAAGTGCTTTTCTCTTTTTCCAAATCTCTTCAGGAATCTTTCAGGATTCAAGTTATTGTTACCAGTTACTGTTACTGTTACAGTCATAAGATTACTCCTTTGGCTGGTTGGCCCATGTTCTTTCCCAAGTGTGTCCTAAGTCCTTGTGAAACAGCCATCACAATTTCCAGGAGATTTTGTGTAAGAGATTGTGTTTACATGCAGACATGTACCTGAGCTATAAAAGTGATCAGTGGCAGATGGGGTGCCAGGGCCTGGTATCTTGACTTATTATGAAAAGGAATAAGGCATACGGCTCCTGAAAAAGAGCCAGTACTTTGTGTCTCTCAAATCAAATTGCATCTACCAGCTAATTAAGGAATGATCTTGAAATGCTCTGAAGGGAAGCCTGTCCAGTTCTGTACTTCTCAGCCAGAGGGCCCTGCAACACAGTATTCAGAATAGAAAATATGTATAAAGAAAATAGCATTGAGAAATTAAGACAGCCTCAGCAATGTGTGAATTCCAGGAGTACAGGGAGAAACATAAGTATCTCTTATGATCAGATACCAAATTACACACTGATGAACTTTCACAACTATTTAGATAATTAGTTTTTTTGACCTCAGACTTGTAACCCCCACACAAGCCTGGCTGTTCACAGCAGAATGTAGTTTATACTCAGAGTTTGGCTCATTGTAATTACAACTGCAGGTGAATTTTTGCTTCTCATTCTTAAAACTTTTCCCATGTGCAGGAGTGCTGAGAGATTTTGGCTCTAGTTTATTCAGAATATTCTTTGCTATTCTTGCAGTGCTGTTCATTAAGATCTTTGCTAAGGTGAACTTTGACCAAGCTAGCGCCTGCCACATTTTACGTGGTGTAAAAGTTACTCTATGTAAAAACACTTGCACATTTAATTGATTTTGCCACAGCAAATTCTTTAGGGTAAACAGTAAAGTAGGGCACACAGTGAATTAATGCCCTTACTCGATGCAGATCTAAAAACTATAATGTATAATTACCAACAAAGGCAGTTTATGGGATTGTCTCTAAATCTTCTGAGGCAACCACTGATGCAGTTACTCCATTGTAGAAGGTTGGTCAGGCAGGACCTGCCCTTGGTGAAGCCCTGCTGCCTGTCTCCAATCACCTCCCTGTTCTCCATGTGCCTTACCATAGCTTCTAGTACGATCTGTTCCATGGTCTTCCCGGGCACAGAGGTGAGGCTGATGGGTCGGTAGTTCCCAGAGTCCTACTTTCCACCCTTTTTAAAAATAGGAGTGATGTTTTCCTTTTTCCAGTCACCAGGGACTTCACTTGACTTTTCAAATATCATGGAGAATGGCTTGGGAACTGCATCAGGCAATTCCCTCAGGATTCTGGGATGCATCTCGTCAAAGTCCCATAGACTTCTATTCACAGCTCTTACTTGCAGTACATGTTTCATGTGTGAACCTGTGAGAACCTGATTCAAAACCTGATTAAGTTTCTGACTCGGAACTCTTTTTTGGATCTTTCTGATAAGGATACACACATAGAGGTGATGCTGAACTTCTTCAGCAGTAAACTACCCAATGATGATCTTTCCAGACTTGACTCTCAGAAATGAATTGTCATTTTGGCCTTTCTGTCCTAAGTTCCCACAGGCACAGTAGTCATTTTGATGGAAAAGCAATCTAGAGTAGATATAAATAGGCTTATCTACGG